AAAAAGAGAGAGTTAGAGAGTGAAAGAGAGAGAGAGGGGGCGAGCAGGCTAGTGCAAAGGGCATAAGCTTTGAGGTTAGGCATGGAAATGGGCACTGGGAAGCTGATGAACTAGGAGGCCCGCAATGATAAAGCGACCTGATAAACCATCGGAGAGACATCAGCATTCGGCACAGGCCACAGCATTTCATAGAGAGAGAGAGAGAGGGAGAGAGAGGGAGAGAGAGAGAGAGTCAGTTGGTTGATTGCCACAGCTAAACAACAGCAATGCAAGAAAACAATTTGTGTGCTTTCTCACCTTACTCTTCCTATTTCATTTGACGTGTGCCTCCTTTTGCGTGGGCAATTTTCGGTGCGTTTGCCCCAGGGATAGTTAATCACAACGATCTTTGTTGCAGCTTGTGCCAAAACCATTTGGGAATTCTAGCGCGCACTTTGCGAAACCGCTTGGGTCGCACAGAATGTGAATCGATTTGCATTTATCAGAGCTGTGCCACGCTCGATTAGCGCGTAGTCGTGTAGTCTCCTCAAGTACCTGCTGATGGTTTCGTAGAGTATATCCTTGGTGGTACATTATTTGTTTACAATCCCGTAAGCTTGTACTTTATAACTATTGGACCCAAACATATTATTTATAGGAAGATCCTCCTAAGAGAGCATAAAAAATAAGGTTTATGTTTGCTTTTGGCTACTGAAAATGACATCTCGAGAGGTGCAGCTAAAGCGGCCTTTGTTTCTCAACTCAATCAAGAAATCATAAAAAATAATTTAAAAAAAACATGAAATTCTCATTCAGATTTTGCGTAAAGTTTTCTTATTTTTTATGCGCCTTGCGCCGGCAAACAATTAGGAAAACTTCGCTCCCTCCTTACAAGCGTTCTAAACGCCGCTTAATTATATTCCAGTTTTTTTTTTATTATATTTCGAGGGGGGTTTCAGCTGAAATTCCCCAGCGGGTTGCCCCCACCCCTCACTCAAAGGCTCCGCTACGCACCTTTAGCTAGCACATTTAGTCAATTTTGAGTTCATTTAAAAAGTTTTTTCTCTGTCTGCCTTTTTTTTTGTCTCTTTCGTTGAGCACTGAGGGCGAAAAGAAGAAGAAGCAGCAGCAGAAGCTGTCGCTGACATTTTTCGCTGCTGTTTGTCACCTCGTCTCCCTGAGCCTGAATACCCCTAACCGACCCCTTATCACTTGTTCCGCTTTCATTGTGTGTGTGTGTCTTTCTGTGTGTGTGTGCATGTGCTTGGAGCTGCTTTTGCTGTGTTTCTGTCGCCTTGTTTAAAGTAAATTGAATTTCTATTTTATTTAAAATGCGCATTGAGACGCACTAAAAGTTCTCAAGTGGTAGCGTTTTGTAAGTGTGGGGCATGAGTTAGAAGCGTAGGTGGGTGGGTGGATGTAGGTGTTAGGTGGCGTGGAGCAGGGTCAGGCGCAGGGGCAGGGGCAAGGGCAGTGAAGCGGCGGGTTCTGATACTCGAACGGCGTCATGCTGAAAATTTAGCGTGAAGGTGTAAAAATTACACTTTACACTCGCTGGCAAAAGCAAATAGAAAGGGGAGAAATAGTATGAGAGAGGGTGAAAGTGTAAGAGTGTAAGAGAGAGAGGGGTGAGAGCGGGGGGTGAGCTCTGAGCGGGGTGACTGAGCTTGGCCTTTGTATTTGACTTTTCTCATTGCCGTTGCCTTTGTGCAAGTTTTTCGCATTATTTTCTTTTTTCTTTTTATTTTTTTTGTAATTCAGTTTTACTTTGCAGGTGTCGAAGTTGACTCAAATTGCGTTAGGAGCCATTGTAAAAGATATATATGTGTGTGTGTATGTGCGTGTAGTTTTGTTAGTGTGTCTTACTACAATAAAAAGCCAACCGCACAGCGCAATTGTTCAAAATATATATTTAAAAGCCTGCTTAATAGACCAAAGAAAGAACAACCAAAAGAATGTACTAAAAACTACTTATAAAAAGGACGACGTTTCTATATAGCACAAACATTCATTAAGCTTTTATGTACAGCTTTGTAGAAACTTTAAACTTTACCCATTTTCCACCAGGGAAGAATGCAAATCTTTTTAGCGGCAAATTTCAGCTATATAACAGCTTAATAACAGTTGTATAACAGCCAGCCCATTTTGATTAAGCGCAAACATTTTAGTCGTATAAGAGTTGTATACACATTATTATATATTGTATAAAACGTTTCTACAGAGCCAACCATAAGTAAATCATTATGTAACACTTTCTTGTTGTTTTTAAGCCGTATAACAGTTGTTTAATGCCATTGTATTATGCCATTGTATTACAGTTCTGTTAGCAGCGCATTTACTTAAGCTAAATTCGAATGAAAGTTGTATATAATTATTACCTTCGCACGAAATTATACAGTTTAACAACGGTTTAATTTGTCTGGACAAAAAGTGACATATTTTCGCAGTCAAAATGTACTGGGTGGAGATATATTGGCGGAGTAATGTCGCTATATCACAGTTTTGCTACATTTGTGTATGACAGTTGTATAATAGTTTTGCTACACTTCTATATATATATCATATGACAGTATGTATAAGTGTTTTGATATATTTGAAAATAAGTATAATGACAGATGTATATGTCTTTGGAAAGACGTATAACAGCTCTGCTATAGTTGTGGATCAATTTCTAAACACATTTTTGCCACACGGGCGCTTGACGGCTAGCATTAGCAGTAGAAGAGGAACTGTATAACAGCTTTCTAGCACTCGCACCCTCAGTACCGGGTATCGTTCAGCAGCCGCAACGCCGCAGATGTCGCTTGCGAAGCAGGTGATAAGAAATCAGAGCCATACAACAGTTAAAGGGGAAAAGGCGGGTGACTGCAAAGCGGCATTGAGGGGAGGGCGAGTGGAGCTTGGAGAGACAACGGCAACCACTAGACTGCGGTTAAAACTGAAGCTGAGCCAAAAAAAGGGGCAAAGGACGCATAATTATAAAGCTGTCCATAACAAGCAGCTCAAGTGCAGCCAGCTTAAGGGCAAGCACGAAAGAGAAAAACAGAGCCGGAGAGGGAGAGGCAGTGTGGGAGCGGGAGAGGGTCAGAGAGCTGAAGAGGCTGCTGGCGCTAAAAGGATGAGGCTGGCGCCCAGCTGGCGGCCGCCAGTAAAGACCCCCCTTCAAAATAAAAACACAATACGAAATAGACACATAGATACAGACGAGGAGGGGTTGGGTCGACAGAGCGGAAGGGCGAGCACGGATTGTAGCACTTGTGAGCAAGTTTTTCTTCCACTTGTATATTTTTTTTTTTTACTTTTTTCTGTTACGCCTCAAATCAATTTATGGAATTTATTTGCTGATTTTATTAAAGTGCGCAAAAAGCATCAAATGAATTGACACGAAAAACCCCAACACCAAGCAAATGGCGGGAGAGGGCGGTGTGTGTTGCATGGAAGGGGAAACAACAGTAACAAAATTCGATTGTCGATTCAATTGCCTGTCAAAAAAACACGGAGATGTTTTGGAGCCATGCGCGGTTGCCGGGCTGGAGGCTTTCTCTATCGTAATTAAGTTAGAACCTTTCTAGACTCTTTCTCTTTCTCACACTCTCCCTTTCTCTATCTCGCTCGCTCTCTGTCTGCCTCTTTGCCCATCTTTGCTGAAAGACGCGCTGATTGCGCTGGCCGGAATGGCTCTCGGACACGCCCAGCCCACACTTCGAGCCAGCATCCAGCATCCAAACTACCAAACCAACATCTATGGGTACTTAGCTTAAGCTCCACAACTTTCAGCCCAAAATGCCAGCGGGCATCTAAATGGTCACAGCCAGCATGATAATCCCCCGGCCAAGCCCAACCCAAACTTTAGTCCTACCATTGCCCAAAGCTATCATCATCATCATAATCATCGTCATCATCATTATATTCATCGACTCGCACTTTAAAAGTGAAATGTAATTCAAAAAGGAAGTGCTCAAATAACTTGACCCACTTTCTTATATTGGAATTGATCCAGCCTACATCAGATCCTCTTCTCCAACTCAGCTGAGCTCGACTAACAATTGATTCACCATTTGCAGTGTTCCACAGTTCCACACATTTATACAAATCTCTTACGTGGTAAATTAATATGCTAAACAATGTGAATTTTGTTTTTGCCAATTTTCCATCAATTATCACGTTTTGCTTAGCTTTCTTTTCTGTTTTCTCTGAACTTAAATTAACTGGTCTGGCAACCCCACAAGCATAATTCATGTAATTTGCAGCGAGCTTAGCTTCGTGCCAAAATCAGTCTGGCAACATTTAACATACAAATTTTGTATTATTCAAACGCCGTGCGCCTTATTCCTATCTATTCCAACTTTTCTGCTGCAGAGCATTGGCAACATTGTCTGCATAGTGTGGCAGGCAGTGCCACATTTAAAGCCATAATATTTATAAATGTGAAAGCTTTCACGCAACAGTTTTTCACCCATGTTCCGCCGTTACAACTTTTTAAGTCCACCAGAGTACACAAGTTCTTAATGCACTGCTTCAGCATTAACAAAAATTATCCATTCCGACAACAATCATGAGTTTTTTACTTTAAAAAAGTCAGCAACATTTTTGTACCTAATTTTTTTATTGGTATTTTTTCGCTATTTTATCGGTACTTTTTTCAATCAGCCAATGTGCACATTCTGTAGCATAAATAATTTGCCGCCCTTCCCTCTTTAAAGCCCATGATTTTATTAAACAACAACAGTATTTTTGTACTTACCGACTCTTTTCAGTTGGTATTTTTTGGTATTCTTGTAATTCGGCAATGTGTATTTAATATGAATGAAATGCTGCAGCATAAATAATTTTGCAGCATTCAATCTTAACATTTAATGAAGTAACAAAAAAAAAATAATATTTTTTGCAGCTTTGCTGACCCTTCTTAATCGGTATTTTTTCGGTAGTTTCCAAAATTCGCCTATGAATTGGAGATTTTATAAAAAAAACTCAACAAAAAATACTCATTAAAGAATTTATTTTTTTTTGTAATTTTGCAGCTGGTCGGCGGTGAATTCGATATGGAATTGAATTTTGTGATACAGGATGCGCAGAATATAAAACATATGCTGGAGCTGTTGGATCATTGTCCGCCCAATTTGCAGGTGAGTTCAATAACAGCTATTGATTCTAGGGGGGCGTGCGGGATGAAAAGGTGTATGTATATGTGCAAGAGTGTTGTGTAACAGCAACAAATACAAGATACAAGATTTGTTGTTATAAAATTCAATCCAATATTTTGCTGCCTTGCGCCATCAAAGGCAAATTAGGCAGCGGCAAAAATGTGCGAGTGTGTGTGTGTCTGTGTATGGGGGTGGCTCCAAATTGTGCGTAATGAAAGCACAACATGAAATGCCTTTCAACTGTTTTTACTTTTGCCGCGTTGTCAGCCGGCTCGTTGGTGACGCATCGCAATCTTTTTTTGATTTGCATATGAATTTATATGTGTCTGCGTGCGAGTGTATGGTGTATGTGTGAGTGTGTGAGTGTGTGAGGGTGTGGGTGTGCGTGTTAAACAATATTTTACACCTGACGCTTTCGCTGTGCGTCGCGCGGCGTCATCCAAATTATTAGCATGAATGCTGGCAAAGGATGCGGCTTCTGGGCACGTCCCTGAGCGTTGCTTTGTGTGTCCGTGCTGTGTGTATGTGTGTGTGTGCATGTGCTGGCAGGAAGTGTGCGCTGCTTTCGCAACACTCTTCTGCAGCAGCCGCTGTTGTATGCATTTGCACACCCACCCGCGCGCCCGCCTCGCTCTGGTGAAAGAGTAGACGCCGGAAGTTGAGTAACCGTGTCAGCAGCCAGCTTCCCACACTGAGGAACCATGCACCCACTCCAACATAGTCGCCTCCTCCTCCCCAGGCCCCACCCGAGCCCAGGCCCAGCCAAACTCAGGCAGTTTGTGGAGCCGACAAAAGTCGCGCCAATGCTGTCGCTTAATGAGTTTGTTTCAAGTTTGTTCCACCGTTCGGTTCATTCACCTATCAAACAAGCTGATTGCATTTGGAGCAATGTGTTCGACGAGCAGATACCCAGTGTGCACAGCTGAGACCGGTTAGCTAAATAGCTCTCGGCTCTACCAATTTTCTAAAGTTATTGGGTGCTTAAGAGACGAGCTCTATTTAGAGTCTCTTTTGTTATGTAGTTCTTTTGTATTATATATATTCTACTAGTTTCTCTTGGAACTTTTTTTGGCTAGCTCCTTATTAAGCTGCTCCTTGGGGTACTATATATTTGGCTAGTTCGTTCCTACCTAATTCCTTCGGGTAATATAACTAGTTCCTTGTTTACAACTTCCTTTGGGCTCTAAAATTTTAAATATCTCCTTAGGGTGCTATATTTTGAACTAGTTTCTTTTAATCAAGCTGCTTTGAGTACTTTATTTTTCATTGGTTTCTTATTGATTAGTTCCTTGGTTTACTGTAATTTCACTAGTAACTTATTAACTAGTTCTTTTGGGAACTTGTTACTTTTTAACTAGTTCCTTTGTGGTACAAAATAAACAGATTCAATGCCGAACTGAGGTAAATACAAGCTACTAATATAACTATCCAAGTTTATGTTCCTATAAAATCAAGATTTAACTTATTTCTTGGAAGATAACTCTTATGCATGAACCAGTTTGCCGCTAGAATGCTCCGAAGATTTCTTCAGCTCTCTTCAACGCGCATATCTTCAGAATAAATAAGTAAATACGAAGCTTAAAAAAAATCGAATTTTTAAGCAAGAGTTTTCTGTAGCTTATGTTAGAAATGCTCGAAAAGAGGAAATTGAAGGCTTTAATGGCTTAAGAAATTTAATTCTTACACAAATTTAAACAAACCGTGAACCGTTCCAAAGTTTGCAGCTTTTGATATTTTTTAACACTTTTAAGTGAAAATTTGATAAGTGCGTTAAAAAGCAGAAGATGTAGATAAGCTTGCTTCTGGTAAGAATTTGAAATGCGTGCTCAATAAAAAAAGCGAGAAAAGGAGAGACCGGCAAAGATAGAGAGCGAGAGTGAGAGAAAGAGAGAGAGCGGTAAGAGAGAGAGAGAGAGATAGAGAGAAGAGAAAGGGAAAAAAGTAAACTTTCTTCTTTATTTTTGGAATGGGACTCTTGGCATTTGCTGTGGGGCTAAAGAGATATTTCGGTGCGCAGGTGGAGCTTGTGTATCCGTGGTTGTGTGTGTGTGCGTGTGTGTGTGAATGTTTGCTTGTGCTGCCTTGACGATCCATTTGAAGCCACTTACATATGCGAGCCATTAAAATGCCACTTGGCGAATTGTGCCTGGTGCTTGTGTCATGTGTGTGTCTCCTGTGTGTGTGTCTTGTGTGTGTGAAACATGACTTTTTCTTGTTTCACGCCGTGCGACGTCAGCGGCATTCAACGTCAAATAGTTGCGGCTCGGCTGTGCCTCAACAAATTTATTTAGCTTTTAAAATTAATGAAAATTGTCACTGACAAATGTTGTGTGCGTGTGTCTGTCTGTCTTCCTCTCTCTGTGTGTGTGTGTTTTGTTGGCATATGTAAAACACGCATCAAATATGCATCATTGAAGTGGCAGAAGAAAAATATGTATATATATATAAGGAACGTTGCGTGATTTTAGGCGCCAGCTACAAGAATTTGGCAGCATATTGGCTGCCTGCCTGGCTGGCTGCTTAATTTGGCATGCCAAGCAGGTGCCACCACCCTCAATCAGCCTAGCGCCTGGCCCCTTGCACGCCCACGCTGTGGCATGCCCCTTTACGTGGCAAGTGGAAATAAAAAGGAATTTACAGGCATTTTATTGCCCGGGGACAGCAACAGGGAACAGTTAACGGGCCGCAGCCCCAACAATTTTGCATAGCTCGCACACACACACACACACACACACACACACACACCCACACCCACACACACTTATAGCTTGTGGAATACTTAAATGATTTATGTGTTTACCAGCAGCATCTCTGCGTCCGCCACTCAATTGATTCGGCACGTAAACGGGCCAAGTGCAAATAACTGTTTCAGTTACCAGCGCAACCATCCCCAGCCCCAGCCCAGGCCTCCTCCATAGCTGCCTGCCCCTTTGGGCCATTTTGTTTGTGGCTATTACATTTTATACTTGACAATAAATTTCAGCGTGGCGTTCGGTTCTAGCCAAGCGCAAATCAAAGCCACGTTATGGCCGCCACACCCCCTCTCCCCACTTCTCCTCAACTGCCACGCCTAAGCAATCCCGCCCATGTGCCACCTCTGAGCCATCGCTGACTTTTGCTCCGGTTACTGTTACCGTTACCGTTACTGTTACTGGTTCCCGTTCCGGTTCAGTTTTAGGTTCCGCTTCTGGTTCAGTTTCTCTGCCCCGTAACCGCATATTTGCCCCGGCTCGCTGGCTCTGGCTCTGCCCCTGTCTCTGCCACTGCCTCTGTATGTCCAATAAAATTTTATAGCCTTTGCCAGCGCAGCAATTTGCGTAACTCTTCACTGTAACACCACCCCCACCACCCCACCACCTTGCCAAGCACTAACCCAGCAGAGCGCCTCCTTTGCGCCCCTTTCGGCCTGGTCAACAGCTTTCACCTTTCATCAAATTGCTGCAAATCCAGATTTTGTGTTTGCATATTACGCCATCTGGCGGCTGGTAGCTGCTGTGAATAACATTGTTAAGGCTCCATTTATGCGTTCCGTGCGCGCCATGATTATCTGCATGGCCCCGTGGGTCAGTACTTATTTTATGCCTAACAATAGTTGGCAATAGCCTTTCCTACTTCCTGTTCCAATCTCTTATTCTCTCTCTCTGTTTTCCTTTTTTTTTTATATATCTTTATTTCCAGCCCTCTGTTTCCATCTCCCTCTCTTGCCATTTATCTTTTTCTCCATCTATCACTCTCAATATCTCTATCTCTTACTATCTCTCTCTCTCTCTCTCTCTCTCTCTCTCTCTCTCTCTCTCTCTGTCTCTCAGTCTGTCTCTTTGTGACTCTAAGGCACTCTCCCCCTCTTTCTCCATAAATGATCTAACAACTAGATCCTTGTTTAAAGACACAGAAACCCTTTGCTAACAGCAATATGTTACTAACAGTATACGTTATGTGAACATACCGTTAACAAATGTAAAACGCAATTTTTATATCATGCTTGCATTTAAACAGCAGCTACTTTATTGCTGCCATTTTATTATTAAAACGTTAATAACGACAACTTATCACCGAGGAGAGGATTCGGCAATGTGATAAGGCTTTTCAAGTTACCAAGTGTTAGCATTTCAATGTTAACAGTCACATTATAATTACATGTCATGCATTTAATATGCATACATATGTTGCATACACTTCACATCTAAGAGCATTATATCGTTAGTTACGAACGCCAGCTCTTTCCTCCTCCTACGCTTGCCGTTGTTGCGGTTGGTAATTCCACTGTTTATTCTGCCCGTTGGAAGTCAGCATCTAAATTCTCTACGTTTGCTTTACACGCTGTTATGAGCTTGTTGATGTCAATATCTGATGAAGTTAAGAGCCCTTGAACAGCGCCGTGTTAACAGCTGCATGTTGCTGCTCTCTTTAACATTTACTTTAATCCTCAATTAATTAATTTGAATGGGAAAACACGTTTTCATTTTTGGCTGTCACAAACAACGCTGCAAAGTTATAATACCCGCTCCAAGGACTTATCTGCGCGTCGTGCTAAAAGGGGTCGGTGGGGAGTGGAAAAGTGTTTGTGTGTCTGAGTGTGGCATTGACTTTAGCTGCGACGTCGACGTCTTCGCTGCTGTTGCAAGCTTCAAAGCTACACGGGGAATTAACTTGTGCTTATGTCGCCTCTGCCTACACCGCGCCTTCTGTAGGGGGCGTACCAGAGGCGCGGCGCGCCGAGAGTCGACTATAAAAAAAAAGTAAAAAGTAAATAAAACTTTGCAGCAACGGCATTCAGCGGCGGCTAAGCTGCAGCTTAGCGCCGTGCTTAAACCAAAAAAAAAAGAAGTAAAATGCGCGCATGCCACAGCGCCGCAGTCGGTGTTGTGGCAGCTGAATTTAAAGTCCAAAGTGCGTCTGTAATTATCTGGAGAGTGTGGCACAAGCAAAACAGCAACAAAATAGTCACAAATACACAAAATCCATGCGATGGATATCTATGC